AGCTGGACAATGAATAAGGAAGACTGAAGAAGAGTTGATGCTTTTGTGTTGTGTTGGTGAAGAATGCTGAAAGTGCCATGGACTACTAAAAGAACTAACAAATCTGTCCTGGAAGAAGTGTAGCCAGAATGCTCATTGGAAGCAAAGATGGCCAGACTTTGTCTCACATACTTTTGTCATGTTGTAAGAAGGGGCCATTCCCTGGAGAAGGATATCATGCTTGGTAAAGTGGAGGGTCAACAAAAAAGGGGAAGGCCCTCAACAAGATGGATTGACAAAGTGGCTGCAGAGATGGGCTCAGGTGTAGTAGTGAGTGTGAGGCTGGCACAGGACAGGACAGCGTTTAGTTCTGTTGTACATAGGGTCACTATGAGTAGGAGATGACTCAACGGCACAAACAACAACAAGAGACTGAGAAATAAAACCATTGACTTTTTCCAGACTCCTATAGCCATCTCTTTACTGTTTATCCATTTTTCAGGAACAGGTGCCCGTTTGTGTTCCTGGACTTCATGCACTGCTCAGGTCCAAGCCAGTACAACACATTTTGTTTTTGTTATACTGGAACCCCACTTCTGGTATCAATTTTTGTATCAGTTACCTATTGTCTTATAAAGTACCACTCTAAAAGAAATTTCTTAAAGCAATAATTTTATTTTACCAGAATTACATGGATCAACACTTTGATTTGGGCCCAGTGAGACAGTAAAGTTCTTATATTGTTCTCTCTTGGAGTCATCTAGTGACTCATTGGTCTAGGAGTCCTTGTATGGGATAGCTTGTGCATGCTTCATTTGGTCTCATCATCTAGTAGGTTATCCTGGGTTCTTTATTTATAGAAAAATAGTTCCTATCAGCAAGAGTACACATCTCATTAAAAAAAACATTTTTTAAGTCTCTACTTGTATCATATTTTCTAGAAATATCACTATTTAAGTTGTGTTTCTCTTGAAGTAGATTTTGAGACAAGGATATGAATGAAAATAATTTGCAGAAGCAAGTGATACCAGTAAGTATTTGTAAGTGTGTGTCAAAGTAAGCCATGGAAAGAAAGGAAGCCAATGAATGGCACTTTTTCAAGGAAGTTACTACTGTGAGCAACTGGAGTTCAATCCCACTGGAGATCCCAACTGGAGTTCAATCCTCCTGGGAGGCAGTATAGTGCATGTTTCAGGGTTGTACTCCCAGAAAAACAAAGAAGTTGGGGTATTTTTTGTCCAAATCCATTTACTCATTGGCTAAAAGTCAATGATAATACATCCAAGGATATCTGACTTGCTCTGTGCAAGGGCTAAGATAAAGCCCTGAAGGAGATAATCATAGGTGCATTAAGATGCCATAAACATGTACTGGAACAGTAAGTGCTGATAAGCTATTACTACTTAATCATACATAACTATTATAGTGACTATTAAATCACTAACATCTCACTATATTCCAGGCCCTGGTATTATCATATACAATGATGTTTAAGAAGCATTACAATAAATGGAGAAAATTTCATCTTACTTGGTTCCACAGTATACACCAGAAGA